AGTCGGGTATTTTAAAGAGATGCACATTTTTAAAATCGTTTTTGGTAAAATTATAAAGAGTAATACAGAAGATGGCTTAAAGAGTGGGGTATTATACAATGTTTTCATTGATACGAAATTATCTTCAAACTTGATAATATTTGAAGTTACATAGACAGATATGTAAAACAATTAATAAAAAATGTAGAAAAATTTACCGTTGGAGTATAATGCGCAGAGAGCTTGACAATGATTTTTGCAGGATCTTAATTCTCTTCAGTTGTTTCCATTATGTGTGATTTCTTCAGAGTAGCCGTGTACGTCTGGATATTTCTATCTTGCAACGCGGCATGTGCAACCTCTTTGTGAAATAAACCATGTGCAAGATGAAATAACTTATAACTTCTTGATAATGTTGGGTGGGTTGTTAATATGCGGTTGACATGGAGGTAGGTTTTCGTGATATTTCATATACATTTCGTATGGTGTCAGGAAGGTTTCAGGATGGCGTGCAATGTCTTCCAATCGTAAATAGTATCAAGACTCGGTAGTTTACAAGCGTTTGTGCATGCGCGAATGTTACCTCAAATATATAAAATCTGTATTCTTGCTAGAATACTAACAATGCACTATGGCATATGATTATACCGTATCAATGTTGTGAATTTTGAAAATATTTGGAATAGTATGACTGCTGTATTTGTTGCATTGTGTGTATATGTATGCCTTATTTCCAGCAATTAGATATAGGGTTTGAATTTAAAATGAGGCCAAAAAGAGCCTTTACTAGGTTTGTTTGACTTTTTAAACAATTTCTCCGTGTTCTTCTCACTCTCACTCTCTCTCTCCCTCTCCCTCTCTCTCTCCCTCTCTCTCCCTCTCTCTCCCTCTCTCTCTCTCACTGACATTACTGTTTGTCTCGTTCTGACTATCATGGTTTCTGTTTGTCGTTTAAAGTGTTAATATAACACTCCTAACGCCTAATCTTTGTCCTCTGCTTCTTTTTATTTCGGTATTTTAAAATCACTCTGCTTGCGTATCGTTGTTCTCTATTTTCCCCTCTTTATCAGTAGCGCTCTCTCTCTTTCTTTGCCTCACTCAATTTCTCTCTCACTTCCTGTCTTTCTCTTTTTTCTTTCTATCTTTCTTTCTTTCCCTCTCTCTTTCTTTCTCTCTCTTTCTTTCTTTCACTCTTTCTTTCACTCTTTCTTTCTTTCTTTCTTTCTTTCTTTCTAACCCTTTTCGATGCTTGTAGACATTTGAGTGCATTCTTTTACTTTCGTGTGTATACGTATTTCTCCATGAGCAATTCTTGTAGATACATCACTGACCTTGCATGGCCTGTGATGCCATTCCCTTGCACAGGAGTGAGCTCTCCGCCCTTCCTCCCGCTGCGACCGTAGGCCATTAGGCTCCCAAGGCCACCTGACGCCCCCTCCTCCGTCGTTGCGACCGCCATAATGACCCGCCCCCGCATCCATCACTGCCCCGCCACGCACCCGACCTCCTACCTCAGCGATCTCGTTACATCCCCTCCCTGCCTCCAACTCACCCTCACCCCCCGTCCCTACGACCCGCTTCTGACTCGTCGCCTTCTTCTCACAAACACCGGCCCGCCGTCTCTCTTTCGCCTCGAGACAGCCTTCGCCATAGAGAAATGAACTATACTGCCTTAGTCTATGCCTCCGCTGAGCTACCTCCCTCTTTCCGTCCCTTGTCCTTTCCCCACTCTCCTCTCGTAACCCCAAGTCTCTCGCTCGCCTCCACCCGCCTCCGCAACGACGCAGCTCGACTGTTTGAGAGATAGCCGGAGCGTTAATATACACGGTTCGTCCCAACGGCACTCTGCCAGCCGGTAAGGCTGAGGATAGGCAATGCCGCTTTGCCATTTCTCCTGAGGTTTAGGCCCGCTGAAGCCCTGCGCAAACGATCTGTGTTCGCTAACCCAACGTATTTACAGTATACATTAGTGTCTCATTATGCTATGTAATAAATCTGTGATACACTCACAATTAGATTGTTTTTGGTCGATAATGAAATGATACGTCGTCGACCCTGACGACGTATGAAAGACTTACCATAAAACTACATGTGTCATATGGAAGTGATTTTTTTCTTTACCTTGTGGATACTCATCAAAAGAGCAAACACCGTTAGAGAGAAATAACATGAAAAGGGAAACAAATTAGAAAATCTTGATTAAAGCGAAATTTTCACAAGATGTAACTGTAGAAATCGAAAACTATTACAGTCGTATGAATTGAAGACAGGCCACTGGGAAATTGGATTTCCGTCATTTCCCTTTCCCTTCTGTGTCTAAATTTATATCCTGAAAGTATGGAGTTAGTAAATGAGGTTTTAAGTGAATATCTGGGAACATTCATAGTTGTTATGTTTCTGAAAGTACTGTGCAGCGGCTGCACATAATGGTCTACATTTGTATAATTTATGTCGTTTACACTGCTGTGTTACATTTGGCTTCATAGCCTTCTCTGCTTGATGTTCTGGTGTTTGTTGAAGTTACATAAACACAGATGGTTTAGCGCATTACATTTTAGTTAACGACTCCATTTATAATTGTCTAATATTATCAAATAAATCTCTGTAATTCTGCGCTTCCCTTTAATTATTGCCTCCATATTGCTTGTTAAGGATAAGAGACATGAAGAGTAAAATTATTTCGCATGATAAATGTTCTTTCAAATGAAAGCAGAAATTTCTGGGTTTATTGCTCTGTCATATCCCCCTAACGAGATATAATGTAATATATTTCATTCATTTAGTCAAAATAAAAGTAGGACTAACATATGAAATTATTCTTTGTGAAATATATGTCCTGTCCCACTTCTATAATTCGTTGTGACAATCTAACGGCCCAGTACCCAAGAATGCAGAATTTTTAATGAAGAGCCATTAATTTCAATACATAGTTTGTGTTCAATACATACATGCTGTGAGCACAGTATAGAAATGTTCATGTTCATCGGATGTGCCGTTTACTCTATGATAATATATTTCTCTGCTAGAAGGAGACTTAAAAGGATCCTGCAAGTTCGTTCGGAAATTATAACTAGTTTCTTTCTCATTGCGAACCTTTATATTAATTTTGGAGGATTAAGAACAGTGCTAAGGTTGAATTGTAGTTGGCGTGTATTCGGCCATATTGTAGCGCTGTCGTCTAAACGGTACATGGTGTTGTGGGCAGACCACTATCCTTTCACCTGCGGATACCAAGGTTCAAAACGCAATTGATACGTATGGAATTTCTGGAGCATAAAGTAGAGCTAGTTTTGTCAAGGTTTCTTCGATTCCCCTACAACTCATTCCACCATTGGTTCGTCACTCGATATATTATCACCATCCATCCATCAATACCATTCATCTCGTGGCCGAAAAATACTAGACTCGTAATCATAATAAACTACAGACTTGCCACTGCGCGCCCGCCTGTGTTCCACCGCATCAACCTCCGATTTAAAAAAATCATCCCTTCTGGACGCGAGCCTACACTTCAGTTGTGCGCAGGGTGTACTCAGGTTGTGTAGCCGTGGGATGATTAGTATATGATGCTCAGAATATGTACCAGGATTTAATGCCTGGCAGCGCCACAACTGCGAACAAAACGGTGCTGTGTAGAGTGAAGGAGTGTTTATTGTTCCCAGGCATGTCAACTACTAATGTCGTTAGCTACACAAGTGTATTATGTTATATCAGGGAGATGGTGATGTTCTTTTTCGATCGGACGTGAGATCCTGCGCCTGCTCTTTGGATACCTCGCCCAGGGGGCACTGACCCAATTGCAATAAGCTCCCGATATGTGACAATAGACTGCGTGTAAGGTGCATCGATTTAATGATTCCACTGAAATTTTGATCACTGAAAACTACCGACCAGAGCAGCCGCCCGGTGGGATTCTCCTCCAGACAGTTGTGGAATTCGACTCAGCCATGAATCGAATGTCGAATATACGTCACCGGCGATGCTGTAATCATTCAGCAGATTTCGCTCAGTGCATTAGACCTAAAAGTGATGACGCTGGAGGAGTGGGTCTTTCCCACCACTCCTGCCCCGTTCTCCGATGGCGGCCGTGCGCGCGTTTCTCTGATATCGAGTCCCGACGCCCCGAGCGGCGGCGTGCCCGGGGATTTACGGGGCCCCTCCTCCCCCGATGGGCCCACGCCCTTCTCTGTGCCTCTCCCGCCTTAATGATTTGCGACTTGGCGAAAAATTGCGCACGCGGCGACTTTGCGCAGCGAGCGCCGCCCTCTTGAATTCTTTATGGGGTCGCTATGAATTCGCGAATGGAGGAAATGGAATTCCAAACGACATAAATACGCCAACTCTCGATTTTTTGTTTCGATGGTTTAGTGCGCCAGTTCTGTGTTTCGTAGTTTGTGAGTACTCTTACATAGTTATGAAGTGAAGTTATTGTTTTTGTTTTTTTTCTTTCGACTATTAATAAAGGTGCAATGTACCGCCTCGTAAATTAACTACCGTAGTTTGATCCGTTTAACAGGGAAAATGGTTTATTAAGGTTCCTTAAACGTGATTGTGTGAAGATGTGTTTTGTGTCCCAAATGTGTTGTAACTTGGAAAATTGCTCGTACTTTATGGCCTTTTAATTTTATATATTAACAAATCGCATTTCTTATTTGAAGGTGACACATTACAGGTGCAGTAAGTGGTAGTGTAGAGTCATTCAACAATTTTATGTGAAATTTAAAAAAAAAGTTTTTGCTCACCTTTTCTTGTTTTTCCAAGTATGCAAAAACTATGTAATATTACTTCTAATGTTATAATACTACTGCATGTCATTTACTTGCGTGAACATTACTTTAATGATAATTATTATAGCATTATAATTATATATATAATTTTATATATATATACATATGTGTACATACATACATATATTCATAGTATTACTACATATAATTTATGTGATACTGATGCACAATAAGGATTAATTATTTTGTATGACTAAATTTATCTGAGACATCTATATTTCTTTTCTATTTCAGGTACGTAAGCGGTTCACATATTTTGTTGCAATGAAGTTTACTTGATTTCCACATTGAAAGGTAAGATTCTGTTTCAAGATACTATTTGATGGCAATTTTGTGTGATATACCAGAATGTTATTTTTTCAAAAGTATTTTTAAACATTCACTTTATGTGATCTCTTTACTGTCCTTCAATGTTCATTGCTATTATTGCTTGGCAATTGGTTCGTAAAATCACTGGTACTAAGTTGTGATTGTCGGCAAATCATCCAAGTGACATAATTGTCAAATGGTCATCACACTCATATTCCTCGCAACGGCAGTGGGTATCACAGAAAGAGAGTTTGCACCTAATGAACACAGTTCGATGGCCGAGTGATATTCTGAAAGGCCTGCGACGATTTTAATGCGTCCCATAACGGAAGAGGGCATAGGGGTCATTACCTGCAAATGAACCGTGTCGTGCTTTGGCATTAAAAAGGAATATAACCCTACAAAGCTTGTACTACATTGCCGTACTCTAACGTACCTAATGATACGAAGCCATTTCACGAAACGACCGAAGTGCACATGTCGAAAATCGATTGCTGCAATGCAAAGAATTGTGTAAAACAAGGGCCATTCTGTTGGGCAGTGAATGAACCAATCGTGTACATTAACAATGCGCAATTTTGAAAATAAAAGTCCGTACACATGCGGGGTATTGGGAGCTGATCACATTTGGTTCCGAGATCTGGTTCATGTTGCTGAATGGCAACGAACGAATGTTCAAAATATTCCTTATAAAAATAGAATATTTCATATTCAGCATTTACTTGCATTTATACTTAAAGTGTCTTATTTTATTATTATGTTTTTATAAGACGTTACCTACTGATGAATTACCCGTGTTGATGTTGGGAATGTTAAACGATTCTTTGATATTACAGTAAAATGTTAAAAAAATATTTTAAGCATAAATGAAAGACTCAAACCAATAAAACAATGTCACATAAAAGCCACTAATCTAAGTACATGTTACTGCGACAGTAATGATTTCTATATATATATATATATATATATATATATATATATATATATATATATATATTCGGGTAAATATTTTCTTTGATTCTTTACCAAAAATCAATGGAATCTAGAATTCAGTATGGAGTATGCATGAAAATACACATTTTCCAACATGACAGTGTTCTAAGAAAATATTAAAAGAGAAGTACCAACTCACTTTGAAGAACTCCTTGCACCAGTCGGTGTGTTCCGTAATTTTCAGCTATCGTTTCAAGCAAACAAGAGGGTGGACATTCCTTCCTTCACAAATCTGAGTTATTGGCTGATTTCGTATCATCATGCTCTAAATTGTTATGTTCTACTACTTCTGAATTACATGTTGAGGGTTTTGATTCAACAGTTCATTCACCAAGCTTTGTTAGCAATATTGTTTCCCACAAAACAAAAGAAACTCCAAAAATCACCTGGGCAGTTCCACGGCGATAAACGCCTCACTCCCGTTCGTCTCCGGCACGGCAGGTACATAGGCCGAATCCCGTGCGTCTCCGGGTACGATTCGTACGTTGACCAACACTCGTGCGACTCCCGGCACGGCTCGTTCACCTCCCGTCTGATGCGCAGGCTCGTACCTGTTAGCCCTTATCAGGGGCCGATGTCGACTGTGTTCCTCTCCCAGTCGCTGCTGACCAGTCACAGTACCAGTCGCAAGACTTCGCTGCACTCACTGCTGAACTCTCCGTTGAACTTGGAACTGTCTTCCTGGCGCTTTCGGGCCCGTTTTATACTAGGTGCTGCCACTGGTGAGGTCTCGCGGGAGAGAGGGATATTGCCATCCAATAAGGAGTTTCAATACAAAAATCTAAGCCGCATTTTTAACCTTCCCGTGGATTCGATGGTGGCAGGATTTTTGGCATTACCTATATATCTAGATCGAGTTCAGCCACTGTCTTGAGAAAAATTCTAGCTACAGATTGCTCTGACCGGTAGTTTTTCGTGGTTTCTCCGATCAACACTGGGCGAAAGGCGGACCAGTACCCCAGCAAACGGACCGCGCGCAATCTTTCCTACCTTTTTCTTGTATTCTCATACACACACTTACACTCGTATGCACTACACTACCACACTTATACGGCGACTAGTCAAGAACTTAAAGGTTATCCCGGCTGGGGCGGTGCCACGATGGTGGGAGATACCTGGTTGGGGAAACCACGCAAAAACGTGTTGTTGGGCACCGGATCTCGCCATCAAGCGGAGGGTGGAGATCTCAGCCTCCACTTCTCACGATAAAAACATGCACTATACTTACTGGACTATGACCTTAGCAGTTGACGCGCCTGGAATCACTAATTAATCTTTCCTATTCCCTTACTGTAGCCTATGCTTAATGATTTGAAGAGGAACATCTGGGCAGTCGAATGCAGAGTAACCATGACCGTTCTGCAGAACCAGTTGGCAGCTAACGTTTCGTTGGCCGAACGCGGATCCAGAGTGACCGTACTCTCACGCAAACAAAAACGATACTCCTCAAACGGCCGTTCACTCCGCTTGGCAGCAAATCACGAACTCGTCGGCACCCCACCCCACTCCACCCCCCACTCCCTTTGCACCGTCCGTTGTCCGCTAGCGCCGCGCGCCTCCGACAAGCCTCTCGACGGGAAGCGGATATCCGCACGCGCACCGGGCAGGGAAGGGGCGCCCGGCGCTGGCTCGCCGACGGACCCTGGCAGCCGGCCAGAGACCGCGCGGCGGTGGCGGTAGCGGCGAAGCCCTGCGCGCCCCAAAACGCGAATAAGCCTGAACGCCATCCCGCGCTCTGAGCCCAAAGGCGATTAATGCCCCCGTCCCTTCTCCCCTCAAAAAATCGTGTTGCCTAAATAATGCGTATTTTGTGCAAGGGGGGCGGCCGTATTGTTAATTTTAATACCTCTCGTCCACTCGCTAATACGCGAGGATAGAAGTTGGGTTTTGTACTAGTTCTTTAGAACCGTCGCACCAAATCTCGTAATGATTTACTGTTGTTGTAGAAAATGTTAGGTCTGTATCAAACAGATATGACAGAATAAATGTAAAATTATGCTACGGGCAGCAAGCAGATAGTATCCTCAACACATTTTACACTACAACACACGTAACCATCGTCCATAACCTGCACCAGAAACGGTGCATCCTCGGCGTTTTAAACACGGTTTATACCTCGAGTACAGTTTATAAGCTGTAATCCATAAATCTGGGTGATCTACTTAGACGTTCTATTACCTTTTTTAGATGATGTCTTAATAGACGTGTCCACATATCATAACTGGGAAATAATGAATTGCATTTTACCTATTACCGAGAACTCCAGAAAAAAATGATGTAGGACAAAAAATTAAAAACTACTGTTTACACAACAATAATGTTCAGTCGCAATGTTTATTTTATATTATTAACAATGAGATTTGTTCCACTGGCTCATTGATGCGTGTCTTTTCGTATCGCGTCTCTGTAATAATTGGGACATCAAGTAAATACCCACTCTAGAATAACAATGTGTTCAACAAATTCTGATAGAAGTGCATTCTTATCCAGTTTACAACAAATATCCCCAGTGTTTTCTCTTACGTAAATAAACTAATAGCGTAATCTGACTTTTATCAAAGTTAAGCCCCGCGTTTATGATGTAACTCTCAGTTCAGAGATGGGCCCTTCTAAGTTATCGAAGTTATTTTCATTTTAACAACGTATGATTTACATACAAAGTGCGGAATGTTCGCTCGGCGTAACCAATTATCATTGATATTATGTGTCTTCTAGTCCTTTTACGTCAAAAAAGGTTCAATTTACTTCTGCTAGCTGGAGCATTCCAACCTGTCATAATCGAGTAGTTCGTACGTACATTCATATGCAATGTGAGACTTCAGAGGCAAGTTTCTTGTCTTTTTCGTATGCATAGTGTTGCATTTTCATTTTTGTCCGCTTATTGAAATGAACATCTCAAAGAGGTTTTCCCATTATAGTAAAGTGTTCTGCAACCCACAATCTGCCAAAAATAACGACTGATTAACAATATCTCTGGATTTTTTAAAACAAGAATAACGTAGCCGCTGTGGATAGCCGAGGTCGGTAATGCTAAAGGGCTTTATCTGCCTCGGCGCGAAGTGTCGCGGGTTCGAATCCTGCCCCGGGCATGGATGTTTGTGTGTGTTTGTTGTTCCTACGTGTTGTTCTGACAGTTCCTCCTACAATTAAAACAATCGCAGTGGTCGGTATACGACCAAGTTGTGAAAAACGACCTAAGAAGAGTGAAACAGTGAATGCTTTACAAGACTGAACTCGTTAAGATGCGGAAGACTTTTACAGTGCATAATTTTAAATGTGATAGAACCACAAACACAAATTTGCATAAAATTGTCATTCGTCAGGCAAGTACATTAAAACAATTACTGTTGAAGGTGTAAAATAAATTACTGTTGAAAGTAAAAAAAATGTGCTTTGTTTCCTCCTGAAAATGAAATAATAATCGAAATAACATATAGATATTTGTCAACATAAAAATATAGCAGGAAACAAAAACTGAAAAGTTTAACTTTTAACGACAAATTTCGTGAGAGTACACGAAAAATTTCTTTATATCTTTTTTCTTACAAGTTTTACCCTTTCTTTCTTTTTCGCATGTTGCCTTCTCTTTTTGAGAGCAAAAAAGCGCCCCGCGGGTCCGTCGTGCTTTTATGTAGTTCCATCCCACTGTGCGACGCGGAGGCGAAAAATCCGATGATTGGTGCGGGAGCTCCCTCAAGAGGCGCCGGGGATGAGCGTCGAGATACACGCTTCTCTTTTATACCTTGCCATCAGAGATGTCGAAGAGATGAAATAAATTCGAATGCTGTGGCAGCTTTTTCGCGATAAGGGACAAATGCCCCGGCGGGGGGGGGGGTGCTGATTGATAAAAGTAAGCTTTGTTTGTTTGGTGCGTGTTTAGGACGTTACAAAGAAAATTTCGTCGTTTATTCGACATCGGGGTAGAAGGCCTTTTTTTTTCAAAAAAGAACACCTGTTTTACGTGTTCTTTTTTTCACTAGTAAAAGCGAGCT